ATGCCAGCTGAGTGGCCCCTCCCCTGGAAGGTTTCTCCGTCTTCAGACTCAGTCACACCTCTGGCTCGTGCGCGCATCAGCACTGCACCTGTCTCAGCAGTCGGAGCTGCACGTGCACACCTGTGTGGTCCTTTCATGGGCGTGTGTCTCCTCTCGCTAACCGGAAGCTCTTTAGGGCGGGGGCGTGTCTGCTTCTGCTCAGCATTGGATCTTCAGTGTGTGCACAGGGCCTGGAACACAGTGTGTTCTCACTAAATGTATATTGGCTGGCTGATGCACTCAAGTAATTACTAGTTAGAGGGGAAAGGCATTTCAGGAATAGGAACAGGATGAGCCAAGGTAGAGGGGTTTATTCTGGGATATTCTAGGAACAATTAGTGACTGGCTTTTGGGAAGAGAGTTAAAGGGGAGGGAAAAAGATGAGCGTAGAAAAGCATGCTGGGTAAACCTGAAAGAACCTACTGTACCATGCTTAGGGGACCCTGGGTGCAAGATGCTTAGCACATCCTGACGGGAGCAAGTTAGAGCTCCCGTCACACCAGTTTCCCCCGAACTCTAATTGTTGACTTGATGGAACTGGACTATAAACTCCTTGAGCCAGAGCCTCTACCTGACTCATTCATTCATGTAATTCCAAAATCTGCAACAGTGCCTGGCACTTGGTAGGAACCCGCAAACACTTGAGCAATTATATAAATGCTTTTAACATGGGAGCTATGGGGAGCCAATAGCTTTTTAATCTATTTAATCTACTTAGATTTGCTCCAGAAAATGTTGCTTTGGCAGCAGGGTGGAAAAGAGAAAGGTCCATTTTTACTTATTTAATCTTTCCATATTGATAGGTGAGTGTCTGGATTTGCTTAAAATGAGTCAAGGTACAGACAGAATGGAAGGGACTGGAGGCAGTTGGTCAGCCTGGTGGCTACCGTAGTGATTCTGGGAGGATGCTGGTGGATGGTTAGAGTGCTGGCAGTGGGGCTGGAAGAGGGGATAGATGGAGAGATGACTGGATAGAAAGTGAGGAGTTGGGAGCTGGTAAAGATTTCTCCAACATATTCAAGATTTCTATTTGCCAAGGAAAGGTGAAATGTCTTGCCAGTGGGGTCTTGCTGGGGAGGAGAAGTGGGAGTAAGAGAAGAAGGCATTAAAGCTTTGCTCTTATTAGACTTAGGAATCATTCATTTTATTTTATTTTTTGAACACAAGTTTTATTTGGGAAGAGTTTCCGACTGTTACAGCTGCAAGCAAGTTCCTTTCTTTATTGAGAAAACCACTCTCCAGAGAGCTGGATGGAAAGGTATGTCCTGTGGGATAGTCACCTTTGAGAGCCTTAGTTCTCTCCTCCACTCAATACGTTGCCTTTTCCTGTTGATGGTTTCCTTTGTGCAGAAGCTTTTGAGTTTCTGGTAGTCCCACTTGTTGACTTTGTATCTTGCAATCTTACTGGGTTCATTTATTAGTTGTAACATTTTTAAGTGGAGTCTTTAGGGTTTTCTTATACTATCATGTCATCTGTGAATAGTCACAGTTTTACGTCTTCCTTTCCAATTTCTTTTTCTTACCTAATTGCTGTGGCTAGGACTTCTAATACCATGCTGAATGAAAGTGGTGAGCGTGGACATCCTCGCCTTGTTCTTGATCTTAGAGGAAAAGCATTTTGCTTTTCACTGTTGAGTATGATGCTAGCTGTGGTCTAACATTTTTCTTGAATAAACACTTCCCATATTGCTGTAAGCCCTCAGTTAATTTTCTGTGTTCTAAAAAAGTTGGTTCTGACAATCTTTTTTGCCAGTTTTCTCATTGCTTCTATGGAGGAAAGAATTTTCAGGGATCTTTACTCTGCCATTTTTACTGATATCATTTGCAGTGTATTTGAAATGCCCGTCTATGTGATTGCCTTCTCATTCCTCAAAACTTATCAAATGTCCCCTATATTGTGAAGTTTTCTTTGGGTCATCTGGGCAAAAGAACCAGCTCTTTCTTTATTCTCCAATACCTCTGTGTTCATGCCTCTGTTATTTCACTATTCACAAGTAACAACTATTTATACCTGTTCTTGTCTCTCCTCCTGGCCTGCAAGCTCCTAGCCTATGAGTTACTCATTCCCCATGCCCAGGCTAATTCCAGACACACCATAAGTATTTAGATTTACAGATTGAAGAATATTATCCCAGGAGACCTCAGAGCCCAGTCAGGGGTTTCTCAGTTCCAGCCACCATTTCTCCCCTCTTGCTTCTATGATTCATAGCCAGCCTCTGTCTCTTCATTGTTTTGTGTGTGGAGAGCTCTGTGGGATGCCCATAAGCTCAGAGCTGAAACACTGAGTATATGAGGAAAGTAAGGAGCAAAAAGCACAAATATAGCACGTGCGGGGAGGTTCAACAGTAATAATATAACAGCAGCAGCTAACGTTTCCTGAGCAGAACCTGTGTGAGATGCCAGATTAAGAGCTTTATTTATTTGTTTATTATTAAAAAAATAATAATTTATTTTAATTACATTTGACATGCAGTATTATATTAGTTTCAGGTGTACACATCGTGATTAGACATTTATATATCTTACAAAGTGACCATCCCAAGACTAAGAGCTTCCTATTCAATATCTCATTTAATTCCAACATCAACCCTGTGTGGTACATATGATTATCCTAACTTTACAGGTGAGACTAAGGGATGTGGCAGAACTGGGATTGGATGAGGGCCTGGTTCCCAAAGCCATATTTTCAGCTGCCCCATCTGAGGTTCTATGAGCCACAGCAGCCTTTCCCTTCCCTGGGATGTTCTTCCTCCTTGACTGAAGACGTGTGGCTCCCAGGTGTGTTCAGCCCACCCTGGGCTCAGGTGAGCCACCTTGTGCTTCGAGGCAACATAGCACTGAGGGCTTCTACAGTAACTGGCCCTTAGGGCAGCTGGGCTGAGAGGCCCTCTCTCCCTGGCATTGGGGTGACAGGTGCAGCCGGAGGAGAGAGGTGACGAAGATCTCTATCATCGTCCCAATCCCAGCATGGTGACAACCCCAGACTGCTGGGAAAGCCAACCCACAAAGAGGAGAAATGTAATCCAGAGGGCTTAGAAACCTCAACAAATGCTAGTATCAGTCTCTCCAATATGGCCCTGTCAGCAGGCCGGGGAACTGTGCTAGCATGCATGGGGCACACTTTTTGGCACAAAGGATCTGGTTGCTAAGCAACAGTAGCTGGCCTTCCCTCCTCCCTGTAACATTTTTCTCTGTTTTTAAGCTTTTAGTTAGCAGATAGGAGGGGTGGCGGCTGCCCAGCCCAGGCCAGCCCTTGGTCCCCCTTTCTGCAACAAGGGGTCTATTCATGGTTTCTGAGCAGAGTTCATTGTCTCTCTGGCTTGTGTCTGTGTGCGTGTGTGGAGGGGATAAAGGGAGGGGCCATTGTATGAACTCGGGAGACCTCACCCTCCAGCCAAGCTGGCCCCACTGTCTAATCAATGCTGACCCAAGAACAGGAGCAGAATTCTTCCTCGCAGAATCCAAGGCTTTGCCTCTTTTCCACTGACCCCTATGGTAAGGCTGCCCCTCTGCACCAGGCCTGCCTGGCCTCTCTCTTGTTCTACCCCCTTCTGCGCCCTTGGGATTCTTGGCTGGTGGAAAGAGCCTCCTCTGGCAGCTCTGGAACAGGGGCTAATCTGGAGGCGCCCTGTGCGGCCAACCTCCTGGGTTTGTTTTCTCCAGGGATTGACTTTTCTCCTCTCTTGACCCCATGTGCCTAACCGAGTGCTGTGCTCATAGGCAGCGCTTAGCAATTCATCATTACACTGAACTCCTACTCAAAAGGAGGCCCCGGAGGTCCACACCACTGAGGACCGTTTTCCTGGGCTATCGCATGAGCTTGGGCAGGTGCATTTTTGGGGTGGAAGCATCTGAGTTGAGGCCAGCTGGTCCAGAGGCTGAACCGAAAGCCACGCTCCCTTGAGGCTGAGACAGGAGGAAGGCGGGCGTGCCTCGGACTCTCTCCAGACCAAGCCACGTTCACAGGGAGGGTGTCTGCAGGGGAGATGGGAGTTACTTCAGCTTTAAGAGGCTTTGTCTACTTTACTAAATAATACGTTTCTTGAAGAAAAGACCCATAACTTATACATACTTATTATACTAATATTTGCATTGCACTTTATAAAACCCTTTTAATCACATAATCTGGTTTAGC